ATTGGGAGAGCCAAGCAGCAAAAAATTCCAGTCTTTATCTCTTCGTTTTCCTCTTCGATTTTTTTTCCCTAGAACCACCAAGAAGAAGGTAAGCTTCGTCCTTTTCTTCTCCTCATTCATAATCTGCGCGAGGAATCATGTGTTTAAGGATATAGCGGATGGAATTCAAATCGGAGCTATCTGGGGCTGTTTGTTTCTTTGTTTTTCCCCCTTTTGTTTAACGTTAATTTTTTGGTAAATCCCTCTCTCATTGGGAAACGAATCTGTTGTTGAAACCCAGATGAGATAGTCCAGGACCGTAGGAACTAGGAATCAATTGAGATTTATTCCAGATTCTCATAGATATCTTCCCTGTTCGGTTTTGATTGGTTGATAGGATTCAATGATTTTAGTGGTTGCATTAAGTATAGAATATCCCAGCTTGTTTGTGAATTTAGGGTTTGCGCTTCACCTTGTTTGTTTGTTTTGTCTGTTTGTTTGATTTTTGTATTTTTTGGCAAACCCACTCACCTGTAAAATAAAATAGTTTACAGGGTACAATGTAAAATGGGTTTGAAAAAGTATTCTGAAATTTACATTAAAAGCTCAAACCAAACATAGTAAACCCTTTCACGTCGTACAAAACATCATCTGCTTGTTTTTGCAACAATTACAACAACCCAGTATAGTCCCAGGAAAGTAGGGCGTGTGTACACATACATTACCCCTACTCACGATGTTGTCTTTGTGTAGTGAATAGATACTTCCTTATGTGGTTAAGCTTTCATGCTATTTCCTTATGTGGTGAAGCTTTCATGATATTTCCTTATGTGGTGAAGCTTTCATGATATTTCCTTATGTGGAGATTATATTAACGTTGCATGAGTTAAGTGATAAATGGGATCAATTTACGGACTGGACTAAATTGCGGTACACTTGTTATTCATTTTTAATGTACGTTTTATAATAGCATATCAAAACTATTTGAGTTAAGTTTTCTTCTAAATCTTGAATACCCTTTCAAATTCGTGGCGAATGCTGATGTAAATTTTAACACCTGAGGGTTTGTAGAAACTCTTTAAAAAATAGATCTTCAGCAAAAATGTTCATTTATTTCATTAAAATCAAAATATCCTAATTCTTCGAGCCCCCCCCCCCACCCAATTGTGAAAGGAAAAATCTTAATGCACAAATCTCGAACGTACCGAAAAACAATCCATCTGGTCAGAAATGAATGAAAGATGAAAGTCTAGAAGAACTGACACACACACACACCAAGTAAAAGACCAAAAAATCTTATCCCATAAACCATGTGCTCTGATTTCCAAAGTTCTTTGTTCTTGTATGCACCTTTATTTGTCTAAAGAATCTAGATTAAAAATGATGTTAAACACTGTCTTTTTAGCTTTAAAAACAGTCTTTTTAGATTTGTTTCATTTTCTACCACAATTTCTTTGGTTCATTTCTTTTTTGGTATATATTTTCTGTTTGAATTGCATAAGTCTCACAGTGATATATGGTCTGTTTCCCCCCTTTTTTGATGCAATACCATCCTCTGAGTAAATTAAAGAAATATATGGCTGAGGTTTTTTTACACGCACCTCCTTAATACATCCAGATCTATGGTGATATTTATCTCATCAGTTAATTGAGTAATGTTTAACATTGTATTGTCTTCATCTGCCGAATGTGGTCCAACATTTCAAACTGTTCTAGTCCGGCTGGAGCTGACATATAAAATTATAAGTGGAAACTCTTCCCAAGTTTAAGTTTTTTGTGTGCTTCATGTTAGTTCTAAGTGTTATATTCCTATTCAGCTATCATTTGCTACTTTTCTAGTATTTGGCTAATAAACTCTTAATATTCTTTCCTCAGTACGGTATTGACAATTTTACTGATTTATTGAGCTATGCACTTCAGAATGGCAAGCTCTGGGGGAATTGAGTATGGTGCGTACACATACGAGAACCTTGAGAGGGAGCTCTACTGGCCCGCTGAGAAACTCCGTATCTCTATTACTGGAGCTGGAGGGTTTATTGCTTCTCACATTGCCCGTCGGCTGAAGACTGAGGGCCACTACATAATTGCTTCTGACTGGAAGAAAAATGAGCACATGACGGAGGACATGTTCTGTCATGAGTTTCATCTTGTTGATCTGAGGGTTATGGACAACTGTCTGAAGGTTACTAAAGGAGTTGACCATGTCTTCAATCTTGCTGCTGATATGGGTGGAATGGGTTTCATTCAGTCTAACCATTCAGTTATTATGTACAACAACACAATGATAAGCTTCAACATGATGGAGGCTTCCAGAATTAATGGGATCAAAAGGTTTGACACCATTTCTTCTCCATGTTACTCTATGTTATTTATGACTAGAGCCTCTATCCATTGAATTTTTCTACATAGGGTTCTAAAGTTCCATGATTTTGTCCCCAAAAAAACTCATAATAAAATGAAGCTCATGAAATGTGATTTTGTCAAATGTGAGTTAAAACAGGTTATTCATGAAAAAAATAATTGCACCTTTAAATAATTTTTTTATATGCAGGATTCCTTAACTTGTAAGAATCATGCCTTCACAAAATAAACAAGTTGTACCTTCCCAAACACAAACTTTTTTTCTGATGGAGTACTGTATGTCTAATGAAAATTCTGTAATACACAGTTGCTAACATTTTTGGCATCTTTCAGGTTCTTCTATGCCTCTAGTGCATGCATTTATCCAGAGTTCAAGCAACTAGAGACTAATGTGAGTTTGAAGGAATCCGATGCTTGGCCTGCTGAGGTTTGTGTTTTGAATTGTCACTTTTTGTCTTTTTATTTTGTCTTTCTATTGTATATGTAGTCTAACTCTTATTTGCTTGTATTTCAGCCCCAAGACGCATATGGATTAGAGAAACTTGCAACTGAAGAATTATGCAAGCATTACAACAAAGATTTTGGAATTGAATGCCGTATCGGAAGATTCCACAATATTTATGGTCCATTTGGAACGTGGAAAGGTAATTTTTGTTCAATGAATATGAACTTTTGAATTGAATAATTTACTTTTGGGTGCTATCAACTCATTGCATTGGTTTATTGGTTGGTCTTAGGTGGAAGGGAAAAAGCTCCTGCTGCTTTCTGTAGAAAAGCATTAACTTCAACCGATAGATTTGAAATGTGGGGTGATGGACTTCAAACACGTTCGTTCACTTTCATCGACGAGTGTGTTGAAGGTGTTCTCAGGTAAGGATAATTTATTTGAAATTTCCAATTGATTCTAAGTCAGTGATTTTAAATTTTGAACTAATTCTATGTCACTGATGCTTGATCAATGATTACCTTTAACAATTTGATGTGTCTTCTTTTGAATTTTGCCTTCCAAATGGCCTTTCTGCTTATTAGGTTAACAAAGTCAGACTTCAGGGAGCCTGTTAACATTGGAAGTGATGAGATGGTAAGCATGAATGAAATGGCAGAGATGGTTCTCAGCTTTGAGGATAAGAAGCTGCCCATTCATCACATTCCTGGTCCAGAAGGCGTACGTGGTCGAAACTCCGACAATACCCTCATAAAAGAGAAACTTGGCTGGGCCCCAACAATGAGATTGAAGGTTACCCATTTACTCTTACTCATCATTGAGATGTTATAGTATGGCCTCTTCTTTATTTTCATTTTTTTTGTCACGTGTGGCCATTCTGGGTAGAACTAGAAGTACAGTCTGTGTACGTCCAGTTCCCTCCCCGAACCTACCCTTGAGTGGGAGGGATATATCGTGTTTGGTTTGGTTTAATTAATTGTGGACCATCTTTGCAGGACGGGTTGAGGATTACGTACTTTTGGATAAAGGACCAAATTGAGAAAGAGAAGGCTCAAGGTACTGATATTTCCAGATATGGATCTTCTAAGGTGGTGGGGACCCAAGCTCCGGTGCAACTTGGGTCCCTCCGTGCCGCTGATGGCAAGGAATGAGTTCCTCTCCCCCCCCCCCACCCCCCTCCATATTTGTGCTAATAAGTTGAAGCCAAGGTTTGGTACAACGGCCACGTCTTCTATAGACATTATGGAGATATGTTAAAAAAGAGTGTTTTATTGGTGGAAGTTGCTCTGTGCGGAGGGCGTATTTATCCTCCTGTTTTCTTTTCTACCTTTATGGCGGGACCCCCCTGACGTTCTGCGTCGGGGTTTTCCCCTTCTATCCATCTTTTGGAGTATTAGGTTTTGAAAAAAACTAAGGTGCACTGTATCATTTTCTTAAATGCCCATCGTCTTTCCTCCTACTAGTGTCGTGTGGCTCTGCAGTTTTGCCATAACATCTATGTACCATATTCAATAAGGGTATAATAATGCACTTCTTTTGTGTTAAAACATAGAGTAGCATCATCATATGACAAATATATTGTGCATGTTTTTGTTCTTATTTACAAGGTTAAATTTTGTTCATTTTTTTCTCTATTTTGGTTAGTCATTTGATAAAATAATAGCGTCATGTTGCCACTAGTTTTGCAGATTAATTTTTTAAATATGTAATTTTATTTTTGAATTCTACATCATTTTTCAAATAAAATAATTTGAAAATAACATTAGTTAAATATAGTAAATTGAAACAGATGATTTAAATTAGGACAGAGAGTTATATTATTGAATGATATGAGTATGATTTGCTTTGAATCACATGTCAAGGATTTTTGAAAACCATGTGAAATCTTTTTGAGTTACTCCGGGTCTGTTTGGGAATAACGTTAGAGATTAGCGTTAGCGTTTTGGATAAAATTTTAACAGTGCAGATTATTTTGAGAACGCTACCCATAGATATTCTTTTCAAATCGCTAATGCTATTCCCAAACGTGCCCTCCTGTTCCAAAATGTAACACTCTACTATTTAAAAAATCACTGGAACTTTTATTTATTTTTGTATTTTCATTGATTATTTGATAAAATAAAATATTCTTGTCACCACTTGTAAGTTTTTATTTTATATTTGTAGCCATTCTTTAAATAAAATGAATTGAAAAAATTAAAAAAAAAATTTTGTTTAGCGTAACGATGTAATTAATTAATTTTTAGAATATTCTTATAAATTAGAGATTTTTCAGACTTCAGAATATTGTTATAAATTTTTCCTTTAAAATACTTCAAAGTACTCCCAGCTTTTTGGTAAAAGTTTCTAGTTCAACATGTCAACAATATTTGAAATAAACTCTGAAGGTCGTTAAAATTTGTAGTAATGTACTTCGTAGGTACACTTCATAGTACTATTTTAAAAAATATATACTAAAATTTACCTTCATAATCATTATTTTAAAAAATTTTAAATACATATTTCAGTTTGTCAAAATAACAATATTTTCAATCCTAATACCTAAATGTTCAAATTGAACCCTCAAAAATATAACATCACAAATTTTAAACACAAAATATATTTCAAAACATTTAAGACCTAAGAATTCTTATCAGAAATACAAGGCATCTCAAAATATATACCCCTCCGGTTCTAAAAATATAGAAATTATTGATTTTTTAAGAGATTTAAGAGAAGCGTATTTTTGCATTGAATTTCTAAAAAAATCATTTGATGTGATAGGTAAAAGTAAGATTTGATGGGTAAATTATTAGTAAGAAAGTATGATGTGATAGGAAGGATATAAAAATGTAAGAGGTAAAAATGACTTTTTAATAAAAAAAAATATTTTTTGGATAGATAAAAAAAGAAAGAAGAAAGATTTTCAAGAATAAAAGGAATATTAAATAATGTAAGACCTACGAGTTCATACAAAAAGAATCGAAGGAACCTAGGAATATTTTTTGGAACAACAAAACTTGTACTCTGGTATAAAACAAGAGAAGACAAAAAAAAATTATTTTATAATGAAGACACACAAAACCAAAAACTTTAATCAATTGTGGGACGGAGGGAGAATTACAATATTTTGTTGTGTACACTATTAAGGAGTTATTTAATCATACTAACGGGTTTGAGTAACTCAAAGCGCGAGCTTAAATATTGGCCTTGAGCATCTCGAACTTGGCCAATTTTTAAGCTCCTCAAATTCATATACTCCGTATGCTTTGAGCTACTCAAAACAGAGACAACTGTGTGGAATCTTTCCCTTTATATGTAAACCACACTCCTTAATGGCTTCATTTTGCGTACTAAGTACGTACACAACAAAATACTGTAAGATCACTCCTGTCCCATTGTTTTTGTCGTCATCATCATCATCATCATCATCATAACTTGCAAATCAAATGTCAAAAGTTACATATGCACTTTGTTCACATGGTAAAATAGACAATCAAGGGTCAGAACATTCATTGCTTGCTGCTGCTGCTGGCTCCAACACTTGTAACAAAGTCCTTCAGAATGTGCTTCCCCCCTTGCCCAAATTCTGTAGAGGCCTGAGCTGTCCCTATTCTCAACAGAGAGCTTTATGGCATTAGCATTTAGCAATGCACAAGACACAATGACCTAAGCCCAACAAGTTTCTTGGCTGTGATTTCGGAAAAAGGTGATGAAAACTAGTTGTAGTAATGAAATGATTTCAAAATTACTTTTTTTTTTTGGAATTCCTATGTACTTATTGATAAACAGAGTGAACAGCAAGGAAGAGCAGCAGAATTTACCTCTAACCATTGGAGGATGATTGTGCACAGAGATATGAACGTCCTTATTTTGTTTGCCATCAGTGGCAACCAGAGCTCCTCTTCCAAGCGATGGAAGTCGGGGAAGGAGCTCTCTCCAAAACCGAGGGCTTGTGGGAATAGTTTATGATTTTTGGCACACCCGCTTCAGCACCCTCGGCTGCATATGCCTGCATCCTGCCAAAATGCAAAATAATGCGCAGCTCGGAAGCTGGGGCAGATCATGTTCTCAAGAAACTTTGGCAGGATGCAGGCATGGCCCAGGCCCCTTATCGGGGCCGGGCTATTCCAAAACTGGCATCAGCTTGCGGCTGATAAGACTGCAAAGTGACAAGTTAGTCAACTGGTATTGAACTTCAAAATCAGAAATGACAGCTACAGATTATGAGTGTACAAAGGGCAAAGAATTTATCAAGCCTGTGAAACAATTGATGAAAACCAGTAGATGAACATGCACAGTTGTGACTAATATGTTTGGGTGGGGGTTTGGAGAGGAAAGGGAGGGTAATTTCTTATTTTGAATTAAGAGAAAAGTATACGTGCAACAAAAACAAATAAATAAATACCAAGTAAATAAATAGGCCAATCGAGTTTATACTAATCTACTACGGAGTATCATTTTATACATCTTGTTTTGAATAAATAAATAAATACGGAGTAGATACCGAGTACATAAAATAGGCCAATCAAGTTTCTACTATTTTACTCCCTCCGTCCTAAAACTTTCTTCCCAGAGCACTATTCCAACTTCACGGGAATTTATATTTATTTGTGTTTTTTCATGGCCTATATGATAAAATAAAATATTCTCGTCACCACTTGTTTCATTGAACTTTTGATGTAGTTTTTAAATATGTATGTTTTATTTTTTATTTCTATACCAATATTTAAATAAAATAGATTGAAAAAACTTGGGATTTTTCTTCGTTTTGCGCAATGGGAAGAAAGTTTTAGGACGGAGGGAGTATTATTTTGTGTCTTGTTTTGAATGATTACTAAGTTAAAGCATGACTTTGCTAAAATGAAAAATAACCCCCAGCCTTCCCCTACCGCCCTACGAAACAACCCTCCTAAACAGACATGAGTTTAGAAAAGCGTTCATCAGAACTATTCTGTGAACTTCAAGATGTACACCGTGGGCAACCCACCTTCGTTTTCCTCTCCGCATTCCCAGTGTGTGGGTGGGGTATCATTAATGATTCTTGACACATTGATTTGATGATACCATGTATACCTGTGAAAAGGGTTGGTGAACTTGAATTTGTTCATGATGATGGATGAAAGGCATTCCAGGGTGCTGGCCAGGAAACTGAGTTGAGTGCAAGTAAAGAGCATGGTTGGACCGCACACCAACATGATTGGTGTTGAACGGAGGAGGATGTATGATTGTCTCAGCCTGGCCATATCCAATGCCGGGCGTTGATGGTCCAACCCATTGCACAGGCAAACGTGGAGGAAGAGGGCGAGGTTGATGTTCGTGAGAGATAGCCGGCCGACGTGCTGGTCTGAGTTGTGGAAACTCAGTGTTGTAGTTCAATGCAGGAGCATACATTGGTTGAATAGCATACGGCCCTCCAGCAAATCCAAACCCAGGGTCAAATCTTTGCAAGTATCTGTAAATTTTACATTGAATACATTCCATGTGATTACAAACATGGTTTTGGAACCAGCATGCAAAGATCTCCATATCCACATGCATAACACAGATTGAACCAACACAACAATATCAAAACTCATTATTAGAAAGCCAAAACAAGTTTATGAAAAGAAAAAACCATCACTATAATCACATAATCTTAAGTCTAATGGGGTCAGTGACTTAAAATTAAGAGCCAATTGAGAGTTGAGAATTAATGAAAGCTATATATTATTGAAAGAAAATTGAGATAGGAAAAAAACAATTCCTCCATATTATAGTAGCATTTACAAAGCAAAAAAATGAACAAAATATCAAAAACAAATGAATATTCAAAACAAAGGTTTGGAGAATCATGTACAGATGTCAAATTCAAATTCTTGCACGTGTTCTGACCAAGGTGGGAAACAAATACATTCACCACCATCAAGTGGAAATCCACAAGGTCACGAGACAAATGAGCAAGGACATTCAAAGCAAGCATTGGAAGGCTAACCACAAAAGGAGTGAATATACCTGTCATAACTCCTGTCGTAATCAGGATCCTTGCGATCAGTTTCACGGTCTCTGAATATAGCCACCCTATTACTAGTTCTAGACCTAGCAATCTGCTCCTTCTCACTCCTACTTCTAGCTGATCTACTGCTACCAGTTGATGAAGAATCAAGGTGACCTCTGCCAGTATTCACTTCAGAAGTCCCAGCAGATGAGGCCTTTTCATCTGCCTTTGAAAATCTAAGTGGACCAGGCTGGAAAGATTCCTGCATGTTTGATTCACTTTCAGTTTTTCCATTATCACCGCCGACTAGATTATTAGAGCTGAAAATCCGAGCCCTTGCCCTGTTGTACTCTTCCTTTCTTTCCTCCACACTTTTAGAGTTGTTATTATTTGAAGAGTGTGAATTTGAAGAGCCAGTGAACTGAGAACCTTTCTGTGGTCTCTGCTTAATAGCAACTTTGACTACACATGTACCTTCCTGTGGCACATTTACAGGTATATCAGCCAGGCGAATTGAAGGTATTCGACTTCCAGAACTTTTGCATACTATAATTCGCGATCCAGATCCATCTGGTAAACTGTTGT